CCCATCCTGTAACTTCCCTTTATTGTTTAATCCAGTTAAAGAACTAACTGCAACTCATCTATTAATAAACTGTGAAACATAATTTTTTCTATTAAATTCTACTAATTTGCTGTAAAGTTCATTTTTGAACACTTTACGCAAATTAATTCTAGTTTTTACATCTTTTGTTTATCGTAGCTATAATATTTGTAACCATACTTTCAGAATTTGTTGACATCAAATATTTCCTTTATTATTCTTGGAACGTTTTCTTTTTTGAAAATCATATTTTAACTTAAAAAATTTCTGTGCTTCTTTTTCTTTTTTTTTTAGAGAAATTATTTTACAAATAGCTTACGTGTTATTCTATGTTTTAAGGGCAGAATAAAATAAAAACATTTTTTTTTAAATTAAAAAATTTCATTAATAAAACCACTGCCTGTCAAAGCCCTAACTCTCGAGTTGATGTATAAACGCACCTTATATATTTTCTCTATTTAAGTCAGTCAATGTATGTACAGTTCCTGCAAGTTATCTCTATTTAAGTTAGTTGATGTATGTACACTCTGCTGTGCCCATCCTTAGATATTCAGTCAAGATATGTACACTTTGCTGGGCCAATACTTAAATAAATCAGTCAATAAAATAAAACAAATAAAATTAATAAAAATAATATAAACATAAAATAATAAAAACAGTATAAAATGGATACAGTATAAAATAGAAACAGTATACAATAGAAAAAAATATATAAAAACTACTTTCAGAAACTCCAATTTAATATATAAATCTAAGATAAACAGTACATCACAATCTTGTATATTTAAGATTATACTTATTTTCTTTTTCAATTACCTGAAAGACATTTTTTTTCCCTTTTGCTTTATCTTTTGCAACATGATCAAGAATGGCACCATGTAAATCTAAGCTGGAATCAGGCTTTCCAGTTGCAAAACCCACTTTCTTAAATATAATAAATATTTCAATATTAAGTTTAACAAAAGGTGATCTAAAGAAAATCTCAAATAAAATTTAACATATCTATTTACAGATGAACTTTTTTGATCTTTGTAGAACACAAGACTTGATCCATATTTACAACAGTAGACAGGCTGCCACATTGATTTTTTGATAGACTTTTTTCCTTCAACTAATTTTCGACGAAACAACGGACCTTCAATATCTGCCTTTTTTATATCCTAAACATCCTAAAATCTATATATTCATGCACATTACATAAAACTTTTCACAATTATACTTAAAATTGATTTTAAAAATAATATTAATAAATTATTATTTTTAAAAGTTATTATTACATACATTCAACATAATAATATCAACTTACATGAATTTGACATAACTACTATTGTTAAGTAGCATCATTTTAAAAGAGCTTTTTAATAAATATTTTTTTGACATAAACTTTCTAACTATGATTGTAAAAGTAGAAGTGGAAATAGGAAATTCTATTATGATTCAAAATTTTTTAACAATATATTTTCACAAAACATAATAATAACATGTTTTTTTCACTTAAAAGGTTCTTCACTTAATAAGTAAAAGTAAACAAAAAAGCTATATGCTGATAGTAATAGCTCTTTTTGCTTGAGGAATATTCTATCAGCTACATGTCTTTGAAATAGTTAAAATAATTCCAGCACTTAACAAATTCTTCACTTAAAAATAACATTCAAGAACTTAGGATTTCAACAGTCTGCAAATTAGTAAAAATGGTTTTTATATCAGTAAAAATTAGTAGAAAAAAGCTAAAGTTAAGATTCCATAATATACCGCAATTATATTATATTATATAACATAAAATCTTGATAGGCATATTACATATAAATTAAATTAATTACAGTTAAAAGTAAGATTTTTGATGTTTTCTTTAAACAATCAAATTGTTTATCTTGCAGAGCAGATATTTAATAGAAATATCTTGATTGTTTAAGCTAATAACCCACTGACAGCAATTTCTTTAAAAGCACCTCAACTACTATGAGCGATGCTCATTGTTTTTTCAACTTTAACTAATATAAGTTGTTTTCATATTTTTTAACTGCTTATTTTGTTTAAAGCTTAATCCATAAAATTATTTTTTTCATTTACATTCAAAAAAAAAAATTAGTACTTTAAGATTTTTAAACATTCAAGTTTGAAAACAAATTTAAAATGGTTGTAAATCCCATTAAGGCATCATTAATTCTCAACATCTAAATGCTAAAGCTTTATCACTTATTAATAATAAAGTTTAATGAGGTTTATTCAACTAATGAACTAATTTAAAAAATTGTCCTACTTCCAAGATGTATTCTCTATTCCTTAGGTCACTCTTCTACTCCCCAGATAAATTTTCTATTTTTGAGACAACACTTCTGCTATTTAGATCACTCTTTACCTCTCAGATTATTCTGCTGCTACTTCAATCACTTTTCTACTTTTCAAATCACTATTCCAGGCTTAGTTGGGAAGTGGGAACAATCGCTCTCGATTACTGACCACAGAAATAATATTTAGTTGCGAAAAACTGGCCAGATTTTTTAGTCGTTTTGAGAACATTTCAAAAAGCAAAAAAAAATGTGCTAAAGATTAAATGGACCAATGAAACAATAACAAAAAAAAAAAAAAAAAAAAAAAAAATTAGGAAAATAAAATATCTTTGAACACAAAAAAACTTAAAGCAAAATAAATTACGTTTAGAACAAATATTTTGGTAACATCTTACAATTGTTTAAAAAGGAAACAAATGTTCTTTATTTAACAAAGAGTGTAATGTAATTTTTATTGATATAGTTGTGTCTTATTTTCAGTGTTAGATTAAGGAGGGTTGGGGTTAGAGGGGGCTATAGTCCAACAATGTTAGGACTATAGCAAAAAAATCATGAAGACCTTTTTGTTTAGTCATCTTAAAGCTGTTGCACATACAAAGGCATCCAAAATAAAATAGCCCCAACAACAAAAAGTCTAAGTTTTAGTTTTATCTAAGCTAATTTATTTTATAAATAAAAAAAGTTAATTTTTTAATACCTATTTTATGCTTCACGTAGTTTAAAAGGTTTAACATATTTGAAACAATTCTTCTTAGTAAGATGAACAAATGAAATAATTAAATTATTGAACTACTATAGAAATTAACTAGATAGAAATCATCTAAAAAGGTTAAAAAAAATTTATAACAAGTAAGCCAAACTGCTTCACAATATCGCTGATGATGTTTAGTGAGTGGGCTTTCAAATTTTAATTAGTATTTAAAGCAGAAAAAAATATAACAAGTTTTTAAGAATGGTAACTGAAGCAAAAATAATTAGAGTTAGTAAACCAATATCTAGAAACTTTTCCAATAACTTACTATATATATTTGTGTTCTGCCGTGACCTCAGGCGCGGTGCTTGTTCATCCGCAAGTTACTTTGAATGCATTGTTTGTGTTTAGTAACCAGAAATTTCTTATGTTTGTTACATAATTAGTTTTATTAACTTTGATGATTATTAATAACTTCATTGACAACACAATTATTTTTGTAAGTCTTTGTTTACAAATTAAATCATAAAAATTGCTTTAAAAAATTATATTACAATAAAAACAGATACACAAAATTACATTTACATAAAAATACATACTTTTTTTAAAAAAAAATAAGAATATACTAATAAAATCTATAGTTTATAATAAACTTTCAAAATTTTGACAATTTAAAAAATATTTATTATAAACCATTTATTTTTGTAAACAAATAATAATAGTTATATATCTGTAAAGCCATAAAAGATTTACGGCTTTACAGATGTGGTTCCGATAATGAGCCGTAGTATTGATAATATATTATTAAAACAATTTATGCTAGAAATCTCAAAAGGTAACAAACCGTGAACAATACAATTTCTAAAAGATTTTAACAGAATACTCTAGTACTTTATTTCGCTTAGTCAGCGTATTTTTTGACCAACAGAATTAGTTTGTTCATAAATTTGGCGGTTTTTTAGTGTTTGTGAATATTCTTTTTATTCTACTGCACCATGATGTTTTGAGAACATTTATAAGTTTATTGTGTTTCTATGTATGTCCATAAACAAAAATTTTTTGTTACGTACATAAACTTAAATGTTCTCAAAATGACTAAAAAACCTGTCCAGTTTTTCGCAACTAAATATTATCTCCGTGGTCAGTATTCCCCACCAAACCAAGCAGAAAAATATTAGAGAAGAAAAAAAAAGATACGTTTTGTATTTTAAAAAATTTTCTTTTAAAATAAATACCACTTAGATTATTCTGCTGCTACTTGAATCACTCTTCACCTCTTAGATTGTTCTACTGTTACTTCAATCATTCTTCACCTCTCAGATCACTCTTCTACTTTTCAAATCAAAATTCCACTCCTTTTACCAGGCAGAAAAATATTAGAGAAGAAAGAAATGATATGTTTTGTATTCTTATAAATTATTCATGAATAACCTTTAATTCAACGAAAAAAACCACTTATTGATTCAATACAAATTTTGATTTAATGTTTGAAAAAAACCTTAGCTGCAGCCAATGTCTAATAACTCCAACTCCTCTAAAAACATATAGGCTCAGTCAAGATCTAGAGCCATTTCATAGTATTTACTGCTTTGGAACACAAAATATTAAACAGGTCTACTTTATAATAACCTATATTTATGATTGAATTTAATGCACAATCAACTGCATAACTAATTTATTTTATATGCTAATGTATAAACTAAGGAATGCATAAGCTAATGCAATGCATTAAATGAAATAAATAAACATATTTAAATAAGTAATCATATATTAAAATAATGTATCAATTAAAGTAATGCATAAATTAAAATAATTTAATAAACATATTTACATAAGCAATGCATAAATTAAAGTAATTCTTAAACATTGATATACCTTTTTAGAATCAACCTCAGAAATATCATCCAGTTCAAATGAACGATTTAATTTATTTTCTTTTTGCTGAAAACAAGAAATAGAAAATAAAAAATTTAATTGAAGATTGAGATCAAAATCATAGAAAAAAAATTAATAAACAAAAAAACTTACATTTTCAGAAGACTTATTAATAATTTGCTTAAAATATGGACTTGTTCTAGGAGATTTCGGTTGATCTTCATTTGAAGACAAACTTGAATGAGATTGAACAATAACAGATTGACATTTATTGTTACGAATAGAGTTATTTGGGGCAGTTTGTCTCCGTAGAATACCTTCGAGGGTGTTATCAAGTGATTTTCGACGTGAACTTATTGGTTTTCCATTTTCATCAAGCTAAATAAGATAAGAAAATTTGAAATAAAATTTATGCCTTATACATACATACACTACCGTCCATAATTATTCGAATAATCATACTTTTCGATATGAGATATCAGAATTTTACTATTTAAAGAGGAATTGAAAACAAAGTCTACCTGAATTATATGTTATCTTCCTATTTAATAGGTTTACAAAAAAATTAATATAAAATCCCTTTAGATTAGTTTATAGTTTACTTGCCTTTTAATCATTCTTAGTGACAATAACCGCCAAACATATTATTGGCATTCTACTTAACAACTTATCCAATTTTCAATGATTTCAATGCATAAGATGTGGAAAAACCTTTTTTCCACATCTTATGCATCATTACTAATTTTTTTTTTTTGACATTACTAAAAAAATCTGATAGAAGAGGATTTGTGATTTGGGAGGCTAAAACATTCTATTCAATATTTGATTGTTCTTGAACTCAATCAAATAACTTATACAATTCTTTTGTAAAATATGTTTTGGATTTAAGCTTTAAGTCATTTTCTTCTGAAAAAATAAATGGCTTCCCATTAAACCATCTTTCCAAAGGTGTGCCATGGTTTTTTAAGTGTTCAAGTTAACTGCTATTGTTATTAATCCCTCTATTTTTACAAAGTCAATGGTGGCATTCCAACCAAAACAGCCTCACACCTTAAAACTACATCCTGCATGTTTTACAGTCTACTACACACTATTTCCACACTATTTTATCAAACAAGTTGAGCACGGTACTACCAGGGACATAGTGGGGATCGAACTCAGAACTCCCTTATAAGGTGAGCTCTCTACTACTACACCACTAACACATTATTATTATGCATTTTTTAATACACTAATTATGCATTAAAGTAAATAACATCGAAACTTTTATCTTTACAAATATTTTTATATTAGCAAAACTTTTAAAAACAAAGTATAAAGTACTGATAATGATTTTTATTTCAAGTTTTAATAAAAGTTGTATATAATTTTTTTTATAATGTTATATATTTATAATGTTATATAAATTATATAAGTATGCATTTTTATAATAAAACATATTTTATAAGCAGTAAAAACAATGCTCGTCTAAAGTATTTTTTCATGCTGCAATAAATGTAAAATAAAAATTCTTGTAATATTAATGTGAAAAACATCTGCTTGACTAGGCACTAAAAATCTACGAATGTGCGAACTTTTGTTTAAAAAAAGGCTTTTCTTCAGTAATTCCTAATTTCCTAATAATTAGGTGATTAAAGACTTTATTTTCTACAGACTATTTCTTTCAATAGCATTACAATTAAGTAAAGTACACTTTCAAAGAATGTAATTATGTTTTAGCTGGTTTTTGTAAGTGTTAACAAAAGCATTTGAAATTTTACGTAAAATGAATGAGTTTGCAATTACTTTAAAAGAAACCATGCCTAAATAATAATTTTTTAATAAAATGATTATTTTTAAAATTTTTATATTACTTAGCTTCTTTTGAGACCCGATGCGACATAATTTCAAAGAAAAAAAATCTTTAAATATTAGGGACCTGGTAAGTGATAAAAACAATAGAAAGTTTTAAGAATATTAAAAAAGATCTGTATCTTTTTTAGAATATAAGGGGCGGCTGGGACGCCCTAATATATATATATATATATATATATATATATATATATATATATATATATATATATATATATATATATATATATATATATATATATATATATATATTATTTTTCATGATTGTTGTTTAAATTAAGAAAAAATTTTGCAAAAAAATATTTTTGCGCATATACCCAAAAAAAAAAGGGTTTTTTTTTTGCATAAGTTATGTGAAATCTTTTTTTATGTTAAACAACAATTATGAAAAACCAAGATACACAACAATCTAAAAAAAAAATTTATACCTTTATGATCACATTAGTAAAAATTTCGGAACAGTTTAGTGCATTTTTCAGGGTATTTTGCGGTTTAAGCACACATACACACACACACACAGATATATATATATATATATATATATATATATATATATATATATATATATATATATATACACATATATATATATATCAGGGTGTAAACTAGCCCTGTGGGGCCCCGTCAAACGCGGTGTTACCAAACGCTCATTAAACTAAAATTGTTAATTTAAAAGCAAAAAATTCCCATTGTCCAAATAAAGTTTGCCTATTAAATGTTTAATAATAATTTTATATTTAATAATAATCCTGAAAATTACTAATAAAAACTAATAGAAAAATAACATAAAAAATTATAATTTATTGTTAAAAACTTGAAATTAAATTGCTGTTATTGGTATAACTATGCGCTTGTTAACTGCAAAAATGTCTCTTGGAAAAAAACTTTTTGAGAATTGGGGTTTTCCGAATATCCCTAAAATTTCTCGGAAAAAAATTCTCAAAACTTGCAAATAATTTTTTGCAAAATTCCAACAACAGCAAATATTATAAAGAAAGTTAGCATAACACAAATGCAAATTTTTTAAAAGTTTCACCCTTTTTGGCTGAAAAGTTAAGCAAGTTAAATAAAGTTTTTTGATTATAACAAACAGGTTCTAGAAATTTATTTAATGAGAAAAATATATTTCTTTGCATTGTAATGCAAATATTGCTAATATATAGGGGAAGTGGGGGCATAACCGCCCCCGTAAAGTTTGGATTGATGTTGTATGAAAATAAAAGCAAAATATGTCTTTTTAACAATTTATTTCAGTAACCACATCATTAAGCTTTACATTTCTGCAATTAGGAAAAAAAATTAAACGATTTTTGAAAATATTATTACACAAAAAGTACACTTAGTGAAAAAAACGGTTTTGCCTTATTGTGAGGCACAACTGCACCCTCACAAAAATCGTTGAAGGTACACTTTTCATAGAATTTTTTTTTTTATATTAAGAAATGCACAATTATATTTCTAAGATATAAAATAATATAATAATCATCAGATATACGTAAATATAACAAGATATCAATTTATACTCTAACCAAATTTTAATCAAAAACTCATTTATTAAAAAAAAAAATTTCTATTCAAGTTTTTAAATGAACGCATTCAAGAGTGGCGATTGTATATATAGTTATTCGTAATTACCTAACTTTGATAAATATCAAAAGTATGCTATTGTGCCTCCTGTGCGTCTATGCAGTTCTGCCCCAGAGGAGAGTTTTTAGAAAAGATGCAGTTTCATATCTAATTAAATTGTGTTGATATCAAAAATGTTTTTCACTTGATGAAATAAAGCTGATAATACATTTCTTAAACACTAAAATCAAATATTGCTTAATCCACAAAGAAAGGTCTGGAAAAATATGATGTAAATATAATACTTTTGTCAATATAAAAATTATTATGCACAACTTCTCAGAAACATATCAGGCACTCTTTTTGACATAAGCGAAATGAAGGAAACTGTTTTACCAACGGGTGGTATGTTTTTTGCCATATTAGCATTTTTCAAAGGAAAATGTTAAAAAACAGTTGTGCCTCTAAATGCGGTTATGCTCCCGCTTCCCCTAAAATGAACATTAAATACGTATATTAAAACGTAAATTAAATACCTTTAATAAAAAGAATGTTGTTTTTTATTACAACAAACTGGTACTAGAAATTTTAAAAACAAGAAAACTAGATTCACTGCTTGCTTGAATTTTAAACATAAAAGCAAATTTAAATGTTTCAACAAACCATAGTCATAATAAGATTTTATGACTATGCATGAAAAAATAATTATTGGTGTTCTTCGTTGCCACAATAGCGTGCAATCGCTTACGATCTTTTGTAATTAAACTGCATTTTTGTTATTTTTGCTGAGTCTTTATTGTAACTTTATTTCGCTATGCGATTTATGTATGAAAAAAGTTAATATTAATTATAAAATTAAACTCGCAATAAATGTGAAATATGAAATTTACAAGCTTGTGTTTACTAATTTCAAAACCTTTTTTATTTTTCTATTTTTAAAACATTTCTTTTGATGACACAATTTATTACATGATGGTGTAAGGGTTCGTCCATAGAGGACATCAAACAGAATTTAAATAATTAGAAGTAGAATATCGCTACATTAATTTAAAAATCGTCCTTTAATGCTCACCAGTGAAAAAAAAAAATGTATTCAAAAGAATACTCTTAACATGAAAATGGCAACGATATTTTAGGATTAAAGTTCATCAAATATACTATTCTTAATAATAATTAATTAATACACACTGATTATTTTATAATATAAAAATATATAATTCTAAATATATCTTTGGAAATCGGAGCTTAATTTGCCTTATCATTGTAAAACCACGTTTAACTTTTTGTTGATTTCATGTTCATCTTCAATAAATATTACAGACGGTATTTTGTTTTATTTTTGGCGCTGTCCAATCAATGTATGCAGCGCTAAAGTGGAGTAGAAGAGGAAAGAATATAAGAAAAGGACCACACACATTCCCGCTACACATTTTATTCTCGAGGAGGGGGCGGGGTGGTATATTTAGATTTTGACAAATTTCCAATTTCGTCAAAACGCTGTATCAAATTTTATCACCCAAATCGGAGCTTAATTTGCCTTATCATTGTAAAACCACGTTTAACTTTGTGTTGATTTCATGTTCATCTTCAATAAATATTACAGACGGTATTTTGTTTTATTTTTGGCGCTGTTCAATCAATGTATGCAGCGCTAAAGTGGAGTAGAAGAGGAAAGAATATAAGAAAAAGACCACACACATTCCCGCTACACATTTTATTCTCGAGGAGGGGGCGGGGTGGTATATTTAGATTTTGACAAATTTCCAATTTCGTCAAAATGCTGTATATCAAATTTTATCCTAGTTAACACCCTGTGTATATATATATATATATATATATATATATATATATATATATATATATATATATATATATATATATATATATATATATATATATACTATAGCATATTTATATGCGCACTTGCTCACTTTTTTTTACTCATCTAATTTGATATAGGTTTTTTTAAAAATGGAGAGGGAAAACGAAGAATAATGAATGAAAAGGTTGCTGACCCATCCCAAAACCCTTAGGCTATGTAGCAGCACTCCACTGCGAGTCAGGCTATTTGTCAGTTGATGTATGTACTAAAGTCCCCAACATCAGGCTATTTCATTATGATGTCACACCTCCTACCTAAATCAACAGTATAAGATATATATTTAAGTCTCTGTGTCTTAATTACTTCATGTCACTGACAGAGTTGTTTCTTGTAACATTAGTACACTGTCTTATACAGCAAATAGCACAATAGCAGATGTCAATTTCTTGATTTTAGTTTACTAAAATCAAGAAATATAACCTCACCCAAATTTGTAAAGCACTAATATTTTTGAAAAAATAATATGGTTAGTGAGAGTAGTGAATTTATTATCAAACAATATAACAAATTTAAAAATTCATCTCAACTCTTTATCTTGATGACAACCAACTCTTTATCTTGATGACAACCAAAAGAAAAATTTAAAAAGTTTCTATTAATGACCACTACTAGAAAAGCCTACTGAAAAGAGTGACTTGAAAAACCTCTAAAAAAAGACTTTAAAAGAACAAAGCTTTTTTGATATGTTCTTTTTTTAAATGAATAGTATTTATTGGTTCCAATAAGAAATACATTGATGTTTTTTGTTATAAGATAAGTTTTTGTTAAGAAATACTTCAAAACATTTTATTTAGTTTGATGGAATATTTAATTTTGCTGTGAGCATATATTCAGCAAGAGTGCTCGATGAATGATATCAGAGCACAAAAACTCATTCCAAAATAATAAACCCTGGCGTCTATTGAACCCAGCTAAAAGTGAACTTGGTCACATCAGCAAAAAACATCTTGACACTATAAATAAAAAAGTAAGAACTGTGTTAAATTTAAACCAATGGAAAAATACCTCTGATGCAATCAAATGGTTTGAAAATATACCAGAAAAACAACATTGTGTTTTTATTCAACTTGACATTGTCGATTTTTACCCCACTATTACATCAAAAATACTAAGTAATGCAATACTGTTTGCAAAAACACACAAGTATTAGCGAAGAGAACATCAGAGTCATTAAACATTGCATAAAGTCCTTGCTATTTTTTAACAACGAAACATGGAAGAAAAACTTAGCACACGACTGCTTTGATGTCACAATGGGTTGTTTTGACGATGCAGAAGTTTGTGAACTGGTGGGCCTATATATATTAGAGTCACTATCTAAAATAATGTTGGACGATGTGATATCGTGACGATGGTTTGATAGTTCATTAAAAAAAAACTGGATCAGCTTTGTAAAAAAACTTGATTTCGTAGGCTATCAAACTGATAGCCTACGAAAAAACATAATTAAATTTATAAAAATGATCGGTTTTAAAATAGAGATTCAAACAAACCTACCCGCAGTCAACTTCTTAGATGTCTCCTTAATAACTTAGAAAAAAACTCTTACAGACCTTTCAAAAAACCAAATGAATATCTACGTTACATCCACACTGAGTCCAACCATCCTCCGCAAATAATAAAGCAAACTCCCATCTCTATTAACGACAGATTATTACAAAATTCCTCAAATGAAAAAACATTTAATTTATCTATACCAGAATACGAAGATGAATTAAGAAGAAATTTTTTTCTTCACTGGTTTTAATTTAAAGTATAATCCCAAAAAAAGTGAAAAAAAGAAAAGAAAAAGCAAAAGAAATATAATATGGTTCAAACCCCCGTATAGTAAAAGCGTTTCTACCAATGTCGGACATATCTTCCTAAACTTAATCAACAAACATTTTCCAACATCCCACCCGTTAAGTAAACTATTCAATCGAAACACCATCAAAGTGAGTTACAGCTGCACCAAAAATATTGCGAAAATTATAAAAAGCCACAACATAAAAATCAGTTCAAAAAAACCAAAAGAATACCCACCCTACAATTGCATAAATAAACTGCCCTATAATAGGAAAATGTAAAGCCTCCAACGTTATTTATAAATGTACCGCATCTCCCCCTAACACCTCAGAAAAAGTATATATTGGCCTAGCAGAAGGTGAATGGAAGAAAAGATGGGCTAACCACAAACACTCATTCACAAACAAAAAAATGAAAAATTCAACAACCCTTTCAAAGTATATATGCAGATAAAAAAAAACTTAAAAAAAACACCCAAATTAACCTGGTCAATAATTAAACAAGTCCCAGCCTACAGCAACGTAACAAAAAATGCTTGCTTTGTCTTTGCATAATATCATACAAAGATATGCAAGAACTATTAAATAAAAAAACAGAAATAATATCTAAGTGCCTAAATGAAAACAAATTCTTGCTTAACAACCATGAGCCCAAAGATTAAAAAATCAAACCAACGCTTGTAAATAGTTAACATTTTATAAATGTTTATTGAGTATATTTTTTAACGAAAAAAACAATGTATTTTTTACCTGATGATTGCTAAACGCATTAAACTGTTAGTAGTAAAAATTATGTAGTTATTTTTTATTTAACCTCATCAAAACAAACAATTATATATATATATATATATATATATATATATATATATATACATATATATATATATATATATATACATATATATATATATATATATATATATATATATATATATATATATATATATATATATATATATATATACAGACTAAAACAAATAATATCTTATTACAGAAGGCAACTCCCAAAATGTTCCACTTCCATTGATACAATAGTAGTATGTCCTGTTATCTTTGTCAATACCCGATTTCCACTAAACAAAACAATTAATATAACTATTATAATTATTATGTAAGTTTAAACTAAGTAATTTTAAAATATTTTAAAACAAAATTTTATAAAAACTAACTAATTTTCCTTTTGTTACCTTTTCTTTTGTTACTTGGTTTATATAAACAAGTTCTCCTGTATCAGGATCATTTTGTTGGATCCAACCTTCTTGTATTTGAATTTGCTCCTACATTCAAAGTTCAATTAAAATGTTTTACAATCTTAAAAAGATACATTTATATAAAAAGTACATTTTATTTAAAAAGCCCAGCAAAATAACAATATTAAAAAGAACTTTTTTTGCCAAAAAGTTTCTTATATTTAAAATATTATTTAGAAAATAGTAAACAGTATTAGAGGTCTTACAGTATTTTCATTACTAGTACTTTTGCAAATGTTATTGTCATGATTTTTATCAATCACAATTTTGGTATATGTAAAAAGTTATATAATAGAAATATTTAAATGCAATTTTGTAACTATGAGTTACCATTGTTATGTTATTATAAAAGGAAGTATTAATTGAAGGTGTCATGTTTTTGTTTATGAAAATAATTTCCATAGGTCAACAAATTTTTTTCAAAAAAACAAAAAAGCTAAAACAATAGCTCCATTGTTTTGTTTTGTATTTTCTTGCAATTATGTACATGATTGTCAAATCTATCTGTTGAATTGCCAGTTCTGCAAATGAAATATGTCTATTTGTGCGGTTTCTTATATTTCCAGTATAAACAGATAGTCCATTACATAATAAACATTTTAGATAATAAATAACATTTTTACTATTACAAGTAATGTGACTTTTATTGTTTCAAACTGTGCCATTGGATGTTTCAAACTTATTTACTTTTTGTAAATATAACCATCAGATTTTACATCTACTGTTTTTGCATTTAAATATGTATATATATATATATATATATATATATATATATATATATATATATATATATATATATATATATATATATATATATATATATACTTAGTAGTATATTTATTAAACTAATGTTAAACTTAGTAATATATAAACTGAGCACTAAGTTGGCACTGTCATAATATATTTTGCATACTTAAAGTTTAAAATGCTAACTCTACACCTAAACTTCTATTGCTGTTAAAAAAAGTGTTTCGTATCTATATTGTACCTGTCCAAGTCTGTCTTTCAACTTATTATATTTCTCACCAACTGACTGTGAATTTATAAAACTAATTACAACGTAAACTATATTAAAACATTAATTCAATTATGGCTTAGAATGTGGGGTTCATAGGACTCTAATAAATCATTATTTCTATACTGTAATTCCTTTATATAATAATAATAATAATATAATAAAATATAATTTAAAAACTTTGGCATATAAAATTCGCCGAATGGTCACACACGAGCAGTGAACGCCCGAGGGAAGAAATGAAGTACATTAGAATAAAGGAGAAGTATTTATTAGACAAAGCATATTTTGACAGTTGTCAAGACAAAAATAAAGATTAATAGAGGAATATTTAAAAATAAATAAGACAGGCTATACAATAAAACAGTACTCAACAATAATAACAAAGAAAAAAAAAAAAAAAAAAAAAAAAAAAATTAAAAATAAATAATAATAATATATATATATATATATATATATATATATATATATATATATATATATATATATATATATATAAAATAAAAATAAAAATAAAAAAAATGTTTTATAAATACCAATATGAACTAAAATATACAAGAAATACATAACCAGTCAAAAATTTGTAAAACAAAAAACCATTCAACAAATTAAAAATATGCTAACAACAATGAAAGGACTAATAATGGAAAAAAAACATTAATGCTAATGTGTAAACATAATTAGTGTAGTGATTAAGTAATAAACATCTCCTCAGAGTCGCGTCTATTATTACTGGCGATAATATGTACAGTTAAATCAGAGGAAGAACCTGCTGCATATTTTAGGTGCAAGTTGATTTGCCGCTTTTAATGCAAAAAAGTTCCCAAGCATTTCTATGTGATAAAATAGAATATATTGTGCCATGTGACGAAACAACACCTGATCTTAAAATTTGTCATTAATCAAGGGTATCTACTTTACCACATTGTATGGATGAGACCAGCAACATTTAAAGATATATATAAATGTTATGTATCATATATGCTACAATAATATGGGAAAAACTGTTGGGTTGTTTTTAATGGCTATTCTGATAGTCTACCTAATACCAAATTAGAAGAACACAGAAGATGCCAGTCCAAAGCAGTTTCAGGAAATGTCATTTTGACGAATCAATGACAGTTAATTCAACCAATGCAAATTTTCTTTCAAATCTTCTTTCAAGAGAGGTTAAGGCCGTCGCTCTTGACATTTCTAAAGTGTTTGATAAAGTTTAGCATACTGGTCTTCTCCATAAACTTTCTTCTTACGGTGTATCTGGAAACATCTTTAAAATTATTGAATCCTTCCTTTCCAATCATAGTATAAAAGTTGTCCTTGATGGACAGCTCTCTTCTTCTTATTCTGTAACCTCAGGGGTTTCTCAAGGTTCAACTCTTGGCCCTATACTTTTTTTAATTTACATTAACAATCTTCCAGATATTCTCACATCTAAGGTGGCATTGTTCGCTGATGATACTACCATTTACTCTTGTTACGATAAGAAGCCAACTCCCTCTGATTGCTTGCAGGGGGCATCTGAGCTTGAAAAGGATCTCACTTCTGCTACAGCATGGGGCTCACAGTAGCTGGTGAACTTTAATTCAGATAAAACTCAAATTTTTTCGTTATCGCAATAATTTAGACCTTCCTATATTTATGAACGGTAATGTAGTCAATGAGTCTCCTACCCTTCATCTTCTAGGATTAACTCTTACTTCTGATCTTTCTTGGAAACCTTATATCAAATCCGTTGCAAAATTAGCATCTGCTAAAGTTGCTTCTCTTTATCGAGCTTGTCACTTTCTTACTCTGGATTCTATTCTCTATCTCTATAAATCTCAAATCCCGCCTTGTATGGAATACTGTTGCCATATCTGGGGTGGATCTTCTAATGATGCCCTTTCTCTTTTACAATGCGCTTACAATGTTTACAATGCGTTTTTGCACCAGACAAGGTGCAAAAACGCATTGTAAACATAGTTAGACCTGCTCTTGCAGCCAACCTTCAACCTCTGTCACATCGTCGTAATGTTGCTTCTCTTTCTCTTTTCTACAAATACTATAATGGGCACTGCTCTAAAGAGCTAGTGCCTCTTGTGCCATCTACTAAAATTCATTCTCATGTTACTCGTCATTCAATTAAGTCTCATCCTTTTTCTGTTACTGTTCCTAAGTGCTCCAAAAACTCTTATTCGTCTAGTTTTTTTCCTCGAACATCAGTTCTTTGGAATTCGCTTCCTTCATCTTGCTTTCCTGATTCATATAATTTGCAATCTTTTAAGTCGTCTGTCAATCGTTATCTTGCTCTACAATCTTCATCTTTTCTCTTCCAGTAACTTCCAACACTAATTAGTGGTTGCTTGCAGCCTTGTTGGAAGCAAAGATGTTAAAAAAAAAAAAAAATCCTCGCAACAAAACTAGATTCATTGAAGCCTTATAAGTGCGCCTTGCAGATTCTGGAATTCATGTTAAACAGGCACCAGGAGATGCAGATACACTATCAATACAGCAATTAATTTGTCAAGAAATGGTTAGACAAGACATAGTATTACTTGTGGCTCTAACAGCTAGTATTACTTGTGGCCCTAACAGATTTAACTAATTATATTTTCATGATGAATCCTGGCAAAGATACAAAGCAAGATAAAGGTTACAGTACGAACAAGCTGAGAGAAGGTCTTGCTGACTGCTCTAGGCAATTATTGTTTTTACATGCAAAGTTTGGATGTGGTTCAACATCATTTCCTTATTGTCAAGGCAAAAAAAAAAAAGCCTTCAAATTGTTGCATAACAATGTGCATTTATGCAAAGTCGTTGATGTATTTAACACGCCAGAAGCCAAACACAATGAAACTGCTAATGTCGGAGAACAGTTTTACCTAGCACTATATGGATCAAAAACCAAGTCAATTTCACTTGATAAATTTTATTATTTTGGTAAATGTAGTCTTATGAATAAAAAATATAAGGATAATAGCGATTAAAATAACACAAAACTTTCTACCAAAATAATACATTCCTGTACTTGGTATAGTTAAGGGGATATTAAAATATTATAGCATCTGTATGATATTATGAAGACTACAACATATTCCCAGTAAATGATCAGGTCTGTGAATTATGATAAGACAAAAAAAATTAAAATAATAAATTCTGCGGTATCATAAAATATGTTTGTAGTGAAAAAACCTAGACCGAAGATTTTTTTTTTTTAAATCTTCTTAAAATCACAATTGCTTGTCCAAATTTAAATTAGATTTTAAATAAATATATTGTTTAGGTAAAATGAACATCATAGTTTCATAATATGATTTGTTATGGTCGTCTATTGGCAATTTTTTTTTAATTACAAGCCCTTTCTTGGTCAGAATTCTAGTATTTTTTGTGAAAATTGATATAAATATTGTATTTTGACAACTGTATATAGTTAATATACATCAGAACCAATTAGAACCAGGATCTATAGTAAATTAAGGCACTTTTTCAAAAGATTTTAACTAACTTCATGTTAGCGCCCAGGAGCAGACCTTCTCAGGAGACAGGTGCCTTGAATGACCACGCATATATATTTTTTTGTTGATAACTTGGCCACAATTTTTTTGCATATATTAAAAATGATGCATTTTAAAAATCCGCTGAAAAAACCAAACTAATTAGTCATCTTATTGTGTGTGTTTTTATTATTCATAATTTATCATTATAACTATTTATGAGAAAATAAAAACCTAACAATAATGCAAATATGTACTTTTTATTAATGACAAAATAAAAAGATAAAAATAATATATAAATATATATCTTTTTTTTTCTTTTTTAATTTATCATTTAATAAAATTCTGGCGCTTTTTCATTAAGTTTTTATTTACAGAATGAATTATGTCATTAATAATTATTATTTCTTCCCGTTGGTTTGACAAGGTTTTAACTAATACTTTTTATATAAGGAGAATTAAAAAAAATTTTTATTTATGTGCATTAAAATCATTTATTTGTTTATGTATTATTATTTTGGTTGACAAATAGATGTAAA